GAGACAAAGAAAGGGGACTTTCAGGCAGGCCACTAAAGAGCATGACCATAAACTGCAGGTCTGTCTGGGGCACCCAGGTGATGGTAATTTGCAATCCCAGATCTGAGCTCTCAGCAGTCCCTCCTTACTTATCTGAAATAGGACAGAGGGAGTGAAGGTTTGAGCTTAAATTTGGAGAATTAGAATGACAAAGACAAGTAATAAAGACAGCAGTGGAAAAGCACAGAGACAAAACTTTATAAGTTGAGCAGTGAGAAATTTATTTAAAACAAAAAGGTGCACACTAGGAGAAAGGGGAGCATGGACTACCTCAAAGAAGAGGCGTTGAAAGATTGGGAAAAGGCTACGCACTTAGGAAGTGCGGGCGACCTCAGAGAGAGGTGCCCCTAAGGGTTCAGGGTCTGAGGTTTTATAGGCCGTTGAGGATTTTCAGGAAAGCGACAAAGGGCCAGGTGCGAAACTGCCAAATGGTCCCAGAATGTTCATCTTTGATAAGACATTAAGTTTCTTCTTTTAACTTAACACAAATTTTCTGCTTTGATTCCTTTCCAGGATATCAGTTTCTGTCTGGAAGCACACCAATCAAGACTGTCTGCCCTGCCTCCAAGATGGGCTGAGCCACCTTCTGTTTGATTAAAATGCAACTTTAGCTTTAAGATAGAATTTTCCTGAATAAGCTGGGCCTTTTTAGCAGGTGTTAAAGTAAATCTTACAATGGTACGTGCTAACTGACACAATGAAAGCATAAGCTATGCTGAGATACTTTTCTTTATCTGGAGAGTATTCAAACTTCTAGGCCAAGTTGCTCCTGGCCTTCTGACCTTTAATCGGCTAACTGGTTAATTCTTTGAGTCTCTCCTAGTGGGCTTTACTGGCCCTATTCTCTTTCTACCCCACTCATATCTATTTTCTTGCCTAACAGTTTCATTAGATGAAAATGAATAGGAGTATCTCCGTGCATTTGCAGGCATCTGAGATCACAAAGCACTTTCTAATTAATCATATCCGTGGCACCCCATGTTTTCTCTTCTCATGTAGCCAGGAGAGCCATATGGCTAGAGTCAGTCCTCTCCTGACTCCCAGTCCTGCGCTCCTGTCCAGTTCCACTCAGTGGGGAACATAGCCCAGCTGCAGCCTGCCTCCCCAGCCTGCACCACCCCTGACCTAGGCACACCCAGTGGCCTTCCCCATGCACCTTCACACCGATCCCCTCCTTCATGTCCACAATCAACCCCCACACTGCACCACTGAAGACAGGCAGTTCAGGGGCTCTCCCCCTAGCATTGCCAAGGGGAAAACACAGACCCAAAGACAACTGGCACCTTGCCACCTGGTTTGCACTGGAAAGAGACCAGGGACCCTCCCTGTGAGCCCTTTTTGAGGTGGCAGAGGCTATGGGTCATATGGTGGGACCCCAGCATCATTGCATACCGGCCACAGACATGGGCCACCCTGGTTCCTGGGCCTGCCAGGTGGCCTGTCCCGCCCGTCAGTAAGAAGATCTGCCCCATTCCTAAGCAGCCTTGATACCTAGAAGGTTACTCCCTGCACTGGGGAAATGAGCCAGCTCTGGTTCGGAACGTAGGCAGAGCTGAAGAGATGTCTCTGTGAGTCACCCTTCACTCAGCCCACCTTCCTGTACAGCCTCACTGGCCCCCAATTTCTCAGACCCCTTGTTCTCCTGGTTCTCCTCCTGTCTCACTGCCCATTTCCCCATCTCCTTTGCAGGCTTTCTCTTCAACTCAATCTTTGAATCTTAGAACTCTCCTCTTCTCCTCCTCCTGGTTCATCACATCCACACCACAGCTTTGACTACCACCTGTCACAGACAGCACCCCCGCCAGCCCTCACCTCTCCCTCCAGCTCTAATGCCTCCTGACATCACCCGCTGGTGCCTCGAACAGCATCCCAGGTTGGACCTGTGATCTGCTCCTAAATCTGGGCCTTTGCTGGCATTTCCTGTCCTAAAAGAGGCACCACCCGGGGGAGCTATCGGGACCCCAGTCATCATCCTTGCCCTCCCACCTTGTTTGGCCCTGCTGGCCTCATACCCATCTATCCACTCCATCCCAACAGCTCATTATCTTCTTCCCAAGTAAACCATCTCCTGGTTGTTCATCAGCCAGTTTTTCATTCAGCAAGCACCTGCTCTGGGCCAGGCAGTGTGCAGGCCCTGAGCAGGCAAGGGAGCCTGGCACAACCTTGCTCTCCTGAGCTAGTGTAGACGAGAAGCCAGAGTCAGTGTCAGCTTGACACAGTCCTTCCAACATTAAACAATGCATCACAGCTCTAATGGTGGTGGAGGAAGATAGACTGTAAACAGACATGGGATACAAAGATACTAATGCTTACCCAGGTTTGCCCCGGGACACGAGAGTTTAGGGTATTGCTAAGATGTTACTGAAATGGTGGACTATGGGAACTAAGCTGGCTCAGGGTGGAAGGAAATATGTGTGATGCATGGAGGGGAGACAGAGAGGTCAAGGACTGAGATCTCCAGGAGGTCCAGAACTTTCTTAAGGGAAGCAGTTGAACATAGCAAGGAGAGGTGGTTCGAGTCAGGACTTGAATTAGTGATGTGACAGCAGAGAATTATGGGTCAGCAGTTATGGATGATTCTTATCTCCCAAGATCCACGTGCCCTGCTTGGGGGTCTAGGAAGCCCCAGAAAGCAGAAAGCACAAAGCACAGTGGTGCTGAGCCAGCTCAGCAGTGGGAGCACAGCAATGACAAGGCAGGATCACGAGATGGCAGCATTGGCCTGAAAACCCCTTGCCTGGAGGCCTCAGCCGTCCTGGGCTGATTCCCACTGTGGGGGGCTGTGTTAATATTCAGGCTCCTTCCAACGCTTAATCTCATACCAGTCAGCAGGCTTTGGAAAAGACAAGGAGCTTGTGTGACCCCCTCCACTCCCTGCCACCTTTGATGGAGCCCCTGACTGGGCTCTGGAGGCAGAAAGGCATTGATTTGAACCTTGGCTCTGCCACTTACTGGCTGTGTGACTCTGAGCAAGATACTAACCTCTCTGTACCCTAGATTCCTCACATGCAAAAATGAGGCTAACTTGAGTGCCTACCTCATCAGGTTATGTACTGGACTCAAAGAGGTGGCCCCTAGGGTCTGGTGGGGGACAGAGTGGGAACTTTGTGAATGTTCATATCCTGGCAGCTATCAGAACTACTTACTGGGCACCTCCCCTGTGCCTCAGAGAAGGATGTAAGGTTGGTATTATCAGGTCAGGGAACCCAGGCTTTATCTCCCAGGGATACGTGAACAGATCCAAGCCCAGGCCTGTCTGGTTCCAGTTCTGCCCACCATGCCAGGCAGCCTTCCCAGCCAGTCCTGGGCAGCACATCCCGGCTTCCTGGGAACGGGAGGGAGTCCCTCTGTAACAGTGAGTTGGCTTCTGTCCCCTAAGAACCTAACCACCCAGAACCTTTCAGGGCATTTCCAAGGCCAGGAGAGACAGGACGTTTTTCTCAAAGGGCTGAGAGTTATAAAATCTCCATCCAGGGGAGAGTGCTTTGCATGTGTGGAGCTTCTCCTTCTTCCTCCTTCTTCCCCCTTCTCCACCTTCTTTTCCTTGTCCATGTCCTTCCAGAACAATGGAGATGGCAGTGGCTGCGCAGCACTTCACCATTTGCCATTGCTGCCCCTGATGTTCTCCAACAGTGCTTGCAAGGAAGTGGTGGCTGCCACCGACTCTGCTCGGCGGCAATGCCCCCTGCTCCCCATCCCACCCTAGGTACAAAGTAGGAGGCCCTAAAGGTGGAAGATGCGGCCTTTCACAGGGGCACCCCATTCCTAGGCCCTTATCACAGGGTCTTGCATGGCCTGCCCATGACCACGTCAGGCCAGGGTCCAGGAACCTAACCAGTCAGTGGGCCTGCCCACACCGCCCACCGTTACCAGCCCTCCCTGGGCCTGGAATCTGTCTACTCTCAAGTCAGTTTTGTGAAAACGTGTATCTCTGTCTCCTCTCTACTTCCCCCTCTGGACCCTGGCTCCCTCTTTTCTGATAACCTGTAGGGGAGATGTTTCTATGACCTCTTCACTAAGGTGCCCTCAGGGAAGAGACTTACTCAAGGTCACTCAGCTGGTCAGAGATTCTGGCGCCAGCATCCGAGCCCAAGGCCTCTGACTCCCACTCTCGTGCTCCTTCCCTGATCCCCCACAGCCTCAAACATTCCCTGGGAGGCTGAGTGTGCCCAAAGCTCTCTAACTCCTCCTGCCCCCACACTAGACACTACAGCCGCCATCTGTCTAGGTCCTGGAGGAGATGAGCCCGCACAGGTCAGGAAGCAGGCCAGTGGATGCATTTTCCTCCCAAGTCTTTCTGTCTTAACGATGGAGGCCATCTGGTGGGCCCCTTCTGAGACCCAGCCCTAGCAACCAGCTAGCCCTCAAGGGGCTGTCACCCGTGCTGTCCCCTCCCTCCTCAGCCTTGCCCACCTGCTGGGTAAGAATAGGGTCGCTCCTATTCTTTCTATACTGTTTATACCTTGGCATTTTTCATCACAGGCAGGAAAAGTTAATTGTGATGCTTGTCCAATGTCCCTCCCTACCCCAACACCATGAAACAGGGCCACTGTCTGTCTAACCTTGCCCTTGGAATACCCAGCACAGCCCACCTTTGTGGTGGCATCACTGGAAAGGGGTTTTAGAACCCCAGCTTCCCCTTGGCTTCCCTAAAGCCCAGCTTTTTCATGTCTGTAAAAAGGGCATAATGCAACCCGTGGCCCTCAGGGCATGTGACAGTTAATGAGACAGTGGATGTAAGAGAGTTGGATAAAGCTGCCTGCCTTGGCCTGTAATTCAGACATGAAGGTGTGGTGTCTGGTGGGAGGGCCTGGTGGGGTGGTGGTGGTTTTGAGGACTGTATGCTGCTGACCCAGCTACACCCTTGCCGCAGCCAGACAATGAGCTCTGACGCTGAACGGAAGTTGGGTGGCTGGGGCCAGCTCTGGGCTGGGGCAGGAGGGGTCCCTGAAGTGGCACCCAGTCGGGGAACAGCAGGGGGCTCTGAGAAGAGGCGGGGCTGCAACTAGAGGGGGGCGCTCCGCAGGGTCCTAGGGGCGAGCTGGAGAGCTTTTCTGGGTCCTGAGGAGCTGGGCTCTGGGAGCTCCTCGGGGAAGACTGAGACACTGGCGGCTCCAAGGAGGGGAGGCAGCGGGCTGCAGTAGACCGGAGGCCGGGTTCAGGGCGCTCCCCCGGGCCACCCCGGGCAGTTCGCCAGGCGGCAGGCGCCTCGGCCTCCACCTGCGAGATGGTGTTCTTGCTGCCCGGCGCCGCGCAGGGAGAACACAAACCGGGAGTTTGCAAAACGGGAAGCTCGGGCGGCCGGGGCGGGGCCGAAGGCGGAGCCCGGCCTGCGGCCCCGCGAAGCCCCGAGTTGCAGTGGCCCCGGCGGCCGGGGAGGCGGCGGCGGCGGCAGCAGCGCGGTGGCGACAGTAAGTGGGGGCCGAGGTCGGCGCAGACCTGGCCCCCGACCAGCCCTCAGGCCTCCGGTCGCCCACTGGGCCCGCGCTCTCGGCGGCCTGCCCCACGGGCGCTCCTGGCGGCTGCTCTCTGGAGCCTCTCTGCCCGGCGCCTTCTCCCCACTCTCCTCTCATTTAACCCCTTTCTGAGCTTCTATCTTCCTTCGTCCCCAGATTCTCGCCCTCTCCTTGTGGACTCCCTGCGACTGGACCGCGCCTCCTGGGTGTGGGGGTCCTGGGTATGGACGAGTCAGGCCAAAGGATCCAGAAGGTGGCTGACTCCTGGTCCAGACTGGGGAGCTCGAGGCCGGGCTGTCCATTACCTCGACGCCACTCCTGCCGTGGCCTCTGGGCGGCGCTCTGTGTTTCCCAGCAATGCTGTCCCATAGGTTAGCTTCACCGGCTCCACTACGCGTTTCACGGATCAGGAAACCGAGGCGCAGAGGCGGGACTGACTTAGCCAAAGTCAGGAACCTCCTCAAAACCAGGACCCAGGTCCAGACCGCGGTCTGCAGTGGCCCCAGGCCCCAGCTTTCCGCTTGTGTGTGCAGTGTCCCCCCAGACCCCCCACCGAGGAAGCAGGGCCAAGTCGGGTCACTCCCGTCTGTGCTTTAGGACCGCACGCCAGCCACGGGCAGCCTGCGCTGGGGACGCTGGGGCTCTTCCTTACCTTTCTCTTTCTCTTTAATCCAAAGCCAGCAGCTAGCTTTTATAAAGAGTAATAAGGCTTTGCTCACTCCAGTGCCCTGGCCTGTGAGTCAGGCCAGAGAAAATTCCTGGCTGCTGCTTCAGAAGCTTGGTCAAGGTTGAGTGGTCCTGGACAATTAGATGCCTGGAGCTGAGAATGGGTCCCAGACAGGTGTGGGCCTTAGTGACCGAGCTTCTGGCCCCTGCCCCCACCCATGTAGCTGGAGCATCTGGAAAGAACCACTTGCCCTTTTTCTATTATTCTGCATGGGTCATAATTTTTACATTTTTAAGCACTTGTTAGAAAGTGTGTACGTGTGTGTGTATATGTGTGTGTGTGCCCCCACTGTCTGGTTAGTTTGTTAGTGAAGAAGGCTGGGAAAGGGCTCTGCTCAGCCAGGGGAATTTAAAATAGATTGGCTACATCTGGCTGCCACCTGCCTGCCTGCTCCAGGGCACATGCTGCCCCAGTAGGGGAGAGTATCTGGCTGCACAGAGTCCATTTATTCAGTAAACATTGATCTCCTCTACTCACAGCTCAGTGGCAGTGAGGCCTTCCAGAAGGAGGTCTGTACTTGGAGCCAGCAGACACTGGTTGACATTGCCAGCCTGCTTGCTCCTGGGAAGGCCAAGAAGTCTGCCTAGGCCTCAGAGTGCTTGGCTATGTAACTTCTCTTTTGCCATTTGGTAGCTGTGTGACCTTGGGAAAATTACTCAACCTTTCTGAGCCTTCCTCTTCATTGGTGAAATGGGTCTTAGAGTAGGACTTACCATATAAGGCTGTTGTCAGGCTCAAGTTCTGGGCACAGTCCTTGGCATGCATGAGTATTGGGTTTTACTTTATTGGGAATTCCTACTGTTCGAATAAAGGACAAATCAAGTGCCTTTAAGTCCTCATTCTTTGCATCTGAAAAAAAGGTGGCAATAATTCCTGTCCTGCCTAATTCCAAGGAATATTGTAAGGCTCTCCTGAAATAGTGGATAAGGCTCTGTGCCTATGTGACAGAGTGTTCCCATCTCACCGGGGAAGAAAGGCACCACTCTGCCTGGCTTGATGTTCTGAGTTAAGGCTCAGTCTCCTCTGTAAGCTTAGATGCATTTATTTACTGAGTTATTGGGTAGGGTGGAAGCCACTGCAGAAGGGACCACAGAGTGTCCCATCCTCAGCTTTAGGGAAGTATTTCCCATTTATCAAGCTAGTGCCATGTCCTTAGGTGCTATGTACAGCATAGAAGTGGGCATGCTACCTTGCAGCCAAATTGAGCAGCCAGCCAGTCAAGTGATAAGCCTAGGATGACAGGGAAAATACGTTTGTGCTACAGCTGCTACCACGGGCCAGGCATTGCCAGCCAGTTGGAGTCCATAAACACTGGAGGAAGTCTTCCCTAGGTTTGCAGAGGGGGAAATTGAGGCCCAGAAGCATGGTGACTTGCCCAGTGCCCTGTAGGCATAGTTACTAATAACCCAGAATCTTTCATTTGTCTTAGGTACCATCACAAATTGATAGTGACTTGTCTGCTGGTGAGATGTGATAAATAGAGGTGGGGATCCAGGCAGGCACTGCAAACCCAGACTTGGTTAATTTATCCAGTTTGTGACCTTCTCCCCTTTGGACCTGTGTCCCCTATAATGAAGGAATGGATTATCAGATGTCTCAAACTGGCTTCTAGAGGCAGCTCCAGACACTATGGGTTTTTTTTTTAGTGTTATTTAATTTGAATGCCTTTCTTTTTATTTACACTTTTATTTTTGAACAGGTAATACATTCACATAGTTCAAAATTAAAAAGGCACAAAGAATATGCAGGGAGGTCTCCTCCCTTCCTGTCTCCAGCCTCCTTCCTCAGAGGCCACCACTCTTAGAAATTTCTTGGGTATCCTTCCAGATGAAATACATACATTATGTGTGTTTTTCTCTTCCCCACCCACCCTGTCTCTGCTTTTTTTGCAGATTGTAGAAAATTCTGCACACTTTCCTGCTCCTTACTTTTCCCACATAAAGTTGAAAAGAGTTAGCAATTTTTTGCCCAGCAAGAGTCCTCGTTCTTTTCTTTCATAGCTGGAAAGAAATTTGAATGCTTTGAGACCAGGTTTGTCCTTCTGAATTGATTGCCACAGGCCCCACTATGCCACATTGCCTTACTCCCAGCCAGCCCCTGCATTTTTTGTTACCTATGTTATCCCTCCATGGGGGAAAGGGGTGACCCCTGAGGTCACTTATAGTTCTGACATCTCTCTTTCTCCCTGATCCTTAAATCTGAAACTCTGCAACCATGCTTTGGTGACCTTGTCCACCCCAGAGTGGGGCATAGTTATGTAGGATGGGTCTGTCCCCAGCTGTGCCCAGCCTCAGCTTCTGATCACCTGCCCTGTCTCTGTTTCTCTGCTCCAATAGTGGCCATTGTCTCAGAGGATGATGACTTTCATCACAGTTCAAACTCCACATACAGAAGTGCAAGCAGCTCTCTCCGAGCTGACCAGGAAGCACTGCTTGAGAAGGTGCTGGGCCACCCACCCCCTGGCCTACAGAGGCCCGAGGACCGCTTCAATGGTGCCTACATCATCTTCTTCAGCCTGGGCATTGGTGGCCTCCTGCCATGGAACTTCTTTGTCACTGCCAAGGAGTACTGGATATTCAAACTCCAAAACTGTTCCAGCCCAGCCCCAGAGGGGGACCCTGAGAGCTCAGACATCCTGGTAAGACCATGCTCCTTCCAGGAGGCAATGGGGAGCAAGCAGCTTGGATGGGGTGTGGGGCAACTTCACTTGGGTGCACCATTCCAGGAAGGTTTGCAGCATGCTGAGACGATTGGTGCAAATTAGGAAGTACAGATTATAGTAGAAAGAATTCAGCTCAGTCCTAAGACATGCTTTATGTTGTGTATGAGTCTTCATAGTTCCTGTGGCAGGGAAAGATAGAAATGGGTAAAACACAATCCCAGCCTTCAGATTGCTTGCTGTGTAACTTGGGCAGAAGTTGCAAATGATGATTCTATGCAGTGTAGTATGGTAAACCCAAGAACCCAGAGTCCATGCCTCCATGGATTTGAAAGGGTGGATCTAATAAAATTCAGCTATGAGTTACAGAAAATCCCAAAAGAGCAGTGGCTAAAACAAGAAGGAAAGTCATTTTTCTCTCACATTCAAGTCTGGAGGGGGTAGTCCCAGAGCGGTATGATGTCCCATGTTGTTAGGAACATATTTGCTCTACCATGTGTAGCCTCCATGCTCAAGATCACTTCACAGTATGAGATGGCTTTTGGAGCTCCAGCCATTACATCAAATAGGAAGAGGGGAAGGAGAGGCATAGGAACGCTCCTGGAACTAACACACATTGTTTCAGACTACATTGTATTGATCAGAACTCAGTCACGTGATGACCATGTGAGCTGCAAATGAGGCTGGGAAGCGTAGTCTTTAAATGTAGTCTTTAACCCAGAGAACTGCATCCTGGGCTAAAATGAGAGGTTGTGCAGTTGTGGAAGACGGGGGAGTGAAGACTCAGGGATAGTAGTCTGGTCACCAGGGGAAAGATGGCTCTAAATCAGAGCACGTGGATAAGAAGGCAAAAAGCCTGGGCAGAGGCAAAATGGGAGGAAAGTTAGGGGTGTATGAGGAACAGTAAGGCATATAGTTTTGCTGTATGGGAGGGTGCACATAAGAGAGGAATTAGGCCTGAGATTGCTGCCTGGGCCTTGAAGTCATTGCTTGGGCTTTGAATGTTACAGTGAGGAGTCTGAATTCTGTTAGTGGTGACACCAAGCCCCTTTCCACCACCCAGGACTGCTCAGTTTGTGGGGTGACTTTTCATCAGGCTGGGGAGTGTTAAAAATTTATTCTGCCATTTGTTAAAATGGTAAGGGAGGCTTTACTCAAGACTATCACAGTAAGGGAGAGAGATCGGGCTTAGCTCCGCATACTACATGGACAAGGGCAGATTTATAGCCAAGGAGCAGAGTGGGGCATCAGTGGGTGGGAAATTACTAAGAGGAGCCTTTAAGACTAGGGGATTCTTGTAAAGGCAGACCAAGGACAAATACACCAGTGGTGGGGAGTGAGCAACTGGATCACATACTGAGGGTGATTAGATATCAAGGGTGGGAGGATTCTCAATAAACTGACTTAGCAGGATTCTTTCTAAGGGGCTAGGCAGGCAGAGGACAGGACAGGGGCTAATAGGTCAAGGCCTAGATGAAAAGAGGGCTCAGAGGTTTGACGAATTTTTGTCAGGAGCCTCAGTGTCCAGAGCTGATCCAGGCCCATGTCTGCTCTCTCTTGAAAGCTCATGGATGGGAGAATAGGGGACATCTCTGAAGGCATGCCAGGCCGGGGGGTTGCCAGCTGCCCCCTCCTCCAGGTTGCCCCAGTGGACAAGAGGGTACCCTAGAAGACCCTAGCCACACCCCTCCACTGGCCCAGGAGGTGGCTCACCACACCTTTTCTAAAAGCACCTTTGAAATTCCTGACCTAACCCCAACGCACTCTCCCCAGTTTTGTAGGGGAGAAGTGACATGTCCACTAAGGCATCATTGTCTCAAGGGCTCTACCATAGCTACATGTCAGGGAGCTTTTAAAATATCTGTATCTGGGCTCCACCCCAGAGATTCTCATGGGGTGCAGATATGGGAATTTTAAGACTTCATACCCCTTCCCCCAGTCCTAGCCCCTTGATTCTGATACCCACTCAGGGCCTATTTCTGTTAACTGAGGAATTCATAGACAGTTCTGGGGGCCAGAGCAGAGAGGTATAAACCCACTTCTGAAGAGGTATCATGGCCACGCAGTAGTAAATGCAGTCTCCTGCTGAAGGTGTGGTCCTCAGACCAGCCATTGCCTGGGAGTTTGTTAGTGATGCAGAGTCTCAGGCCCCACCCCAGGCCAGCTGAGTCAGGAGCGGGATGCTGGCAATCCCCTGGGTACCTGACAGGCACAGTAGAGTGTTAGTGGCACTGGTGAGGGCATGGCTTCTGGAAATAGACTGCATGGGTTCAAACCCTGCGTCTGTTAGCTTAGCTCTCTGGCCTCTCTGCTGCTTCATCTTCCTGGTATATAACTCCCACCACTGTCTTAGGGTTATTGTGAGGATTAAGTAAATTAATATGCTTGCAAAGCACTTCGAACAGGGTCTGGCATCACACTCTTAAGAGCTGTATAAACATTATTATTGTTATTATCATCTGGGGCATGGGGCCCGCACTTCTAAGCTGCATGTGGCCTTGGTGTATTTCCAGATGTCTGGCTTTGCTGGGGTGCTTTATGATCCACCCAGTGACTCAAGCATGCCCCCATTCAGCCAGCCTCAGTAAATCACCCAGCCCACTTGGGCTTGGTCCAGAAGATTCCTCTCTCTCTGGTCAGGCACCTGGCCAAGGATGGTCCCCAGGGCTAGACTACTTGTGATGCAATCTTGCTCCCTCCCCTGTCCACCACTTCAGCAGCCCCAGGAGCAGGCTGCTCAGGGTGAGAGAGGAAACACAGGCTGTGGTCTCTGGGAGCCGGCCCTCACACAGTGGACGCACAGTACATGTCTGCCGTGAGCTGCTCTCCCTGCAAGGCGATTCCTTCACAGCTGCAGGCACTTAGCATTCCAGGCCCTGCTATGATGCTTTATTGCCTCTTTCCTAGTGCTGGCAGGTGCAGATGTAGTACCTGCGGCTGCCCGGAGCTCCTGGCTCTTGGCATCAGAGATGAGAGACCTGTCACCCCTCGATTCATGGGCCGGGTCTGGGAAGCAAGCATGCTGGGGTGTTTCTGCATTTTGTGGGCCATTTTTCTTCGCCTAATTCCTCATTCCTGCCACCCACCTCCCCAGTCCTTTCCCCCTCTCTTCCTGATTTCCCTGTGAGATGTGGCTGGTCTACTCTGTCACCTGAGGGCCACTTTGGGGGAAAGGGAGGGAGAGTCAAATGGGTCTGTCTCCAGTCGCCACCTGCAACTCAATTAACTGTGGGTCTGGTTTTTCCTCTACTTTTCTTTTAATATTTCCCAGGGACGTATACTACTGGATGGGGAGTTTGACTCAGTAGGAATGCTTGCATATACTCCCCTCCCTCCAAATTATGCCACTTTCAAGGTCACCTCCCATTGCAGGCTCATTTCCTTCTGCTTGGAACAGTTTTGGGGATGGTTTAGAAAGCATCTGCTCACCTGCCCCCTTGTCTCTGTTCTCTGGAATAAGTCTTTGAATAAACCCACCACAGGCCTATGGGCTCAGAGCCAAGAAAATTAGAGCATAAACGAGGAAGAACTGACATGAAAAGATGGTGCTGGGGAGCCACGGTGGCTGCCACCTTCAGAGTTTGACTTGGGGCCCGCCACACTGGCTGGGGGTTAACCATACTCTCTCTCATTAATCCTGTTTTTCTGGACAGGAAGTTAGGAAGCTCAGAGAGATGCAGTAACCTACCTCAAATCACACAGCTACGCAGGGCTATAGAGAATTTCTCGGAGACTAGGTGGATAAATGATTGCAAATTGGTCATGTTCAGAGAGTGGTGTGCAGGGGTCTGTCCTGGAGACAGGGGCCACCTCACACCCTGATCCCATGGAATGTCCACTTTCTTCCTAAAGAGAGCCTGTCGGTGGTCTGGCTTCCTTTATTATTCTGGAAGACCTGGTGCCTTAGCTGTGCCCCCGCATTCTGGACCCAGCTTTCAGGCTGTCAGCATCTCTTGATTCCTGCTCTCACCTGCACGCCCCTGCCCTCCCCAGCCTGCCCAGGTCCTCCCTTGGCGCTGGGGTTTATAAGCCTGTGATCTTGCGGGGGACTTCTTGATCCCCTGTGGGGCTTTCTTGATGCCCTCCTTTCGGCTTCTCCTGCAGGCCTGTACAGGCTGCCCCTGGGCCAGGGATTATAAGCCGGACACTCCCCCCGCCTCCACCGCTTCTCTGCCCTAGAGTGGAGAGACACACCTTCTCCTGGTCATTCCCTGCAATGAAGCCTCCGTGGCTCCCACCGCACACATTCTTCCTGTGCGCCTTGGTCTGCTCTTCTCTGAGGGGACCATGGAACATGGTCATGTTGTGGGTGGGACCCAAAGTGTGACTTGGTGTCAGCAGGGCCAGGACCCAGGCCTGGCAACCTCCTGCCATCCTGTCCATGCCCTGATCTGAGGGGGCCCCAACAGCCCAGAAAGTGGGACAGGAGGCAGATGCATCTCTGACCCCTGGGAGCCTCCCCTGCTGCCACACCACTGAGTCAGGGCCTCACCTGAGTCCCCAGAGCTTCCTGTATCTCCCCAGCAGGTTCTCACCACACAGCTCGTGGTGTGGAGCACTTACTGGGGAGCCACTACTCTCCGCACTTTGCCTGCCTTATCTGCTCTAACCCTGCAGCACCATCGTGAGGCAGGAACTGTTGTCTATGATGAGAACACCCATATCACAAATGAGAATGCCTCCCCCTCTAAGGTGCTAGCGCTTCGGGACAGTGACCACCACTCTCTTCCTGTACATCGTGTTCCCCGCGGCACAGCCAGCAAGTGCCCAGTGCACAGTAGCACACAAGAAAACTCTGTTGCCTCAGTTATTGTACGGCTGGGGAGGAATCCAAGATAGGGATGGCACGGCTCTGCAAAGGAGCAGAAGAAGATTTGGGAGTCATAGTGACCACTCCAAAAGGAGTTCTTATCTTCCAGGTGGGTTGGCTTAGATATGAAGTGGGATTTCTGCTCTAGAGAAGGGACTCACGTTGGCCT